GCAGTTTGTCCCCGGCCCTGGTTGGTAGTGTGGGTGGCAGCCACTCGATGTGTCCTTTTCACGTTGATGTTTCTCTGTTTCTCTCCCCCCCCGCCCCCGCCACTCTATCTGAACAAAAGATGAAAAAATGTCCTCGGGTGAGGATTAAAAAAAAAAACCAGTAATAAAAAAAATTTTTTTTTTAAATTTCTTTAATTATAAATTCTTTTTCATATTATTTTGTTTAATTTCTACAAATGAACATACTTTAATTATATAAATAGAAAAAAAGTTCTTTTAGGAAATGGAGTACACAAGGACTAGCCCCAACACACACACTAAGCTCACAAATACCAGGTTGAATTTTCTCCTTGAAATTGTATAAAAGGACAAACTAATGCCAACAAAGGGAAGTACATGACCAAAATGTAAAAGGACAAAGAAAAAAGAAAACAACAGAATTCAGGTATTATGTATTCCAGGCTGAAAACCACTCATTCAATTAACAATGAATTGCATATTGGGTGCCAAGCAATAGGGAGACAGGAGAACAGAGAACCTGTGCTCAGAAAGTGAAAATGTGCTGAGAGAACTACTGGGGAGGTGACATCAAAGTGCTGCTGGGTGCCCTGGTCCATTTGGTTCAGTTGGTTGGTAGCTGCCCATGCACCAAAAGATCGCCAGTTCGGTTCCTGGTCAGGACACATGCCTGGGTTGCAGGTCTAAACCCTGGGAGGGGCCATGCAGGAGGAAGCCGATTGATGTTACACTCTCACATCACTGTTTCTCTCTTTCCCCCTCTCCTTTCCTCTCTCTCTAAAAATCAATAAATTATTCTTAAAAAAAAAAAAAAGGTTTTGCTTGGGGGGGGGAGTCTTAAAGAATGAGTACAAGTTCCAGAGGCAGGAGGAATGTGAGACACATTTCAGACATATGAAGGGCATATGCAAAGCAGAGAAATACAAAGAATTTCTGCTTGGTCCCCATTCTTCTAAAATATTGCCTGTATTTTGGTAAAACAGTTTTAAAATTAATGTCTGCTAGTCCTGGCCAGTTTTGCTCAGCGGTCAGAGCATCGGCCTGCGGCCCAGAGAATCCTGGGTTCGGTTCCCACTAAGGGCACGTATCTCGTTTGCGGTTTGTCCCCGGCCCCACTTGGAGTTGTGCGGTGGCAACCAGTCGATGTGTCTCTCTCACATTGACATCTCTCTCTCTCTCTCTCTCCCCCCCCTTCCGCTCTATCTAAAAATAAATGCAAAAATGTCCTTGGGTGAGGATTAAAAAAAAAAATTAATGTCTGCCATAGTATAAAACAGAAAGGGGGGGGGTAGAAAAGAGAAAAAGCAGAATGAAGGGAGGGGGAAAGGAAGGCAGACAGTAACAGCATGACAGTACGCGTGTGAGAGGGAGAAGTCAAGAGTGTGGCCAGCATCTGGTAGGCAATGAAGAGGCAAGAAGAGGTTTTCAGTAGAAATGTCACATAATCAAGATGAACTGAAAAGTGGGATGATGGAGGAACAGTGGAACTGAAATGAAGGGACAGAGCCAAGAAATGACAAAGTAGAAGTGATGGACCTGGAAACTGATTAGATGAGTCAGAGATGTCCCTGAAGATCCAAGTTTTTTTTTTTGCGACCGCAGGACAACGGTGCAGTCTAACAGAGCTTTAAGAGAAGCAGCAGCTTGGTGGCAGACTGTGGGCTGGGTTGAAGAGGTCTTCATACCTGAAAGGATTCACAAGTAGAAAAGCAAGGAAAGGCATAATTTTGTTACCAGATGTAAAAAAAGCCGATCACAGCCCAAGAGTGAGAGAAGCAAGGTGGGTAGGGTAGGTCAAGACCATTGATGTGCTCAGGTAAAGGGCATGTGGGCAACATTCAGGCACCTGGTGCTACCAAAGGTGAGCTGCTAGAGGAGGCCACTCATAAAAGGCTTCTCTTGAGAAAGGGAAGCTCTCCCAGACAGGAAAATCCAAACTCATAGGTACAGAAGGGATTAAAGAGTTAGAAGAACTATGGTGATCACTGTCTCAGGCAAGAATCATCAATGGATATTAAATTAGTGGGTGAAAGTGTTAGGAGAAACCAGATACTTACAGTCTCAAAGCATCTCCCTACAAAATACTTATTCCTTACAAAGGGGCAAATAGTAGCTTTAATAGTGGAGAAGCTTAGCAGATACCACCACCTGAATCAAGGGATCAAAGTAGACTATCTCTAGTGATTGGACAAACTGACATCGCATGCCATCTGGTGTGATGCACTGAGGAGGACACAACATTGCTTCTTGATATTTTTGCCAAAAGTGCAAACCTGAATCTAATAATGAGGAAACGTTAACAAAACAAAACAAAACCAAAAACTCCCACAAAGAATAAAAACCCAAGTTGAGGAACATCCTACAAAATAACTAATCTATACTCTTTAAAACTATCAAGGCCATAAAAGACAGACAGACTGAATGGTTTTAGAGCAAAGGAGACTAAACAGACTTGACAAGTAAAATGTAACATGTGGTCCAGAATCCCGGACCAAAACAAAATGGTCTTTTGCTATAAAGTACATTAAGGGAACAACTAATGAAATAAAAATTTCTATAGATTAGATAGGTTAGTACTGCATTAGTGTTAATATCCTAGTGTTTTTTAACTGCATGGTGATGTAGCCCGGCCAGCGTGGCTCAGTGGTTGAGCGTTGACCCATGTACCAAGAGGTCACCAGTTCAATTCCCAGTCAGGGCACATGCCCAGGTTGTGGACCAAATCCCCAGTGAGGGGCAGGCAGGAGACGGTCAATTGCTGTTCTCTCTCATCGATGTTTCTATCTCACTCTAAAATCAATAAAGAAAAAAAATTTTTTTCTAATAAAAAAAATATCTACAAGTTAAAAAAAAAATTGCCTGGTGATGTAAAAGAATGTTTTTAGGAAATACCCATTGAAGTATTTAAGGGTAAAGGTGCATCATATCTGTAACTTGCCAACATTTCAGAAAAAAGACACAAATATATAGAGAAAGAGTAATACAGGGAATGTGTTAAAATGTTAACATTTATGAAACCTTGGGATTTTTTTGTAACTTTCAATTTGTTACATCTTATAAATGTCATAACTTTCCTATAAATCTGAAATAAGTTAAAGAAATAAATTAAGGAGAAAAGTGCCCACTCTTCCTTCCAATGCCACAAACTATCTCTGTGAAATGCTGGGTAAACAAGAGAGATTTTAATCACTGAATTGCTTTGGGCAGATTTCCTCCTGGCCCAAGGGAGAGGTGCCAGGAAGAAATTGATACAAAACCAGTGTCCAGACCTGGCCAGTGTGACTCAATTGTGAGTTCGATCCCTAGTCAGGACATACATGGCAGCCGATCAGTGTTTTTCTATCACACTGATGTTTCTTTCTCTCTCTCTCTTTAAAATCAATACACATATCCTCGGGTGAGTATTAAAAAATAACAACAAGAAACAAAAACAAAACCAGTGTCCAAAAGATGGACACTCAGAAAAAGCATTGGGTACAGAATGTACCAAACAAAGCCGCAGATCTGCTGTGATTTTGCAGAGTGCTTGCTGTGACTCAGCTCTGGTGTGCTGCAGAGAAAGCCTTGGAAATAACAACAAAGTCTTTAACGGCTTCAACTTGAAACCTACTTTCCCTGATTCTGCACATCCTGAGGAAATGTTAATACCAGTAACTTGACTTAATATGATGCTGCTTAAATTATCAGCAGAGCCTGGAAGGCTGTCCACACCACACAATATTTAGTATCACTACAGATAACACTGGAATCAGGAAGAACACATAGGGAGGCCATAATCCCTACCATGGTTTCTAATCAGTTTAAGCCTACATTCTTTAGCTCAACTATTTTTTTTTTTTTTATCCTCACCCGAGGACATTTTTCCATTTTTTTTTTTGTTCAGGTAGAGTGGGAGGGAGAGAGGAACAGAGAGAGAGAGAGAGAAACATCGATGTGAAAGGAACACATCGAGTGGCTGCCACCCGCACAACTGACCAAGAGAGAAACATCGATGTGAAAGGAACACATCGAGTGGCTGCCACCCGCACAACTGCGGGGGACAAACTACAACCGAGGTATGCGCCCTTAGCGGGAACCGAACCCGGGTCTCTCAGGACTGCAGGCCGACGCTCTAACTGCTGAGCCAAACCGGCCAGGGCTTTAGCTCAGCTATTAATGCTCAAGAATTGATGGAACCTTGTGCCCACTGTATCTCCTTCTCCTCAAAGCCCATCAGCTTTGAAAGCATCCAGGAGAAGAACAAAGGAAACAACAGCATGAAACTAGCAATTCCAGGGGTTTCAAAAGAGAGGCCAAAAGACATGTTACAGGAGCTCTAAATGAATGAAATCAATGTTTTAATATAGGTAATACTGTGTCACTTCGAGAACAATACAGACAAATTTTAAGATAGTTGGCCTCTGCAATAACACCAAGTTGTCAGTGGAGTTGAAATGCAGCTGCTTGACTAGAAGATACCCAAGCATTTAGCTGGTTTTTTACCTTACTCGGTAAAATAAAGAAATAAATCTATCAAAATATGAATCTCAGGCACCTGATCAATGGCCACAGGCTGTAACATTCACAACTAGTCATTCATTTTATTAAACCAAAATGCATTATCATTTGTGTCCAGTCTAGTATTGAGGACACAATGAGAAATAAAACTCTTTCCCTGACCTCAAGAAGCTGAGACAGACAGGCTACATACTATGACAGGGAGCTGGGGGAACACAGAGAAGGTACTCAGATCGTCCACAACTGCAGCACCGAGAACAGGACTGCTCTGGAGTTCTGAAAGCTCTACCAGACCCACACCACAGACTCATAACTCTAGAGATGGAGGGAGGAACCTGACAGCTGTTGGGACTGCTCAGTTCCTTCTCAGAAAGCATCTCACACTAAACAAGAGTTGATTCCAGAATCTTCAGATGGTTTAGCCCTTGGAAAGCATCCTGTGGACAGTAAAAGCTGTAAAATTGGCTCTGAGGTAACACACTTACCTGTGGCTTCAATGTATTCAATGCATCTCTCAATAAAAACAGGAATTGGCTTCTCTGGAGTTACAACGGTTGTTAAGGGAACACCAAAATAGTTACTCTCCCAGGTTGCCTTCGTGATGGATGGCCGGGGTTTAGGCTTTGGTTTCTGTCCAGAAAAGAGAAAAGAAAGCAGAAATACAAAGTGAGTCTCATCAGGCACCGACACATCAGGAAGGCTTCCAGAAGGGAACTTACAGTGGTGTGGAAACTGCTGGGAAGGTTCCAAGCAGGAGAGAGAGATCCACTTGTTCATTTCACTAATTTTGTATTTTCTAGCCTCCAAATATCACAAAAGATGCCAGCAAGTTGCCACATAATCACACCTTGAGCGTGAGATTGCACTGTCAGAACAAAGGTGTTTATAAAAAGCAGGCCATGTTTATTTAATAACAATGAGATGACTATCTACATCCTTTATCAGGGGTGCACTCGCATAAACAGGAAGTTTTCCAAACATCCCAAATGAATAATAGATATTATACACTCAAAGATGGCTAAACTTTTAAAAAGATAAAAGATGGCATTGAGCCCTGGCTGGTTTGGCTCAGCGTTAGAGCGTTGGCCTGTGGTACAGAGAGACCCGGGTTCGGTTCCCGCTACTGGGTCGCAGTTTGTCCCTGGCCCTGGTTGGTCGTCTCGATGTGCCCCTTTCACATCGATGTTTCTCTCTCTCCCTCTCTCTTCCTCCCATTCCATCTGAACAAAAAAATGGAGAAATGTCCTCGAGTGAGGATAAAAAAAAAAAGATGGCATTTCCAGAACAGAGATAGGCTCAAAGCCCCAAAGAGAATTCTTAGATACATCACCTAGTGTGAATGGTTTCCACGTTACAAAAGGATAAAACCACCCTGCTGGTGTGGCTCAGTGGTTGAGTACTGACCCATGCACCAAGAGGTCGCCGGTTCGATTCCTGGTCCAGGGCACATGCCCAGGTTGTGGGCCAAATCCCCAAGGGGGGTGGGACGCATGCAAGAGGCGGCCAATCGATGTTCTCTCTCATTGATGTTTCTGTCTGTCTCTCCCTTCCTCTCTCTCTCAAATCAATTTAAAAAAATATTTTTAAAAGAAAAGGGTAAAATTAACTCATCAAATGTGACAAATAAGATAACCCTTTATCTTTTCTTCCCCAGTAGTACCTTCCTTATGCAGCAGGAATAGCAGCTGCAACTACTTGAAAGCTTACTATGTACCAAACAAGTCCCAAATATTATTCCTTTAAACCTCATAACATTCCACTTTACCAAGGAAAAATGTCACATACCTAAATGACACAACTAGTAAGTGACTATGCTGGGATTCAAACCCAAGAGGGTCTGTCTCCAAAGACCCTGGTATTTTGTCAGTGGGTCTTCATTATGGTTAGGAGTTATCCAGATTGTAGTGTATCCTTAATCATTTATCCATCATCCAGTTATTGCCTGCCTATCCCAAGAACTTTCTAAAGCAGGCATAAACCCAATGGTCAAGAGCACAGGTTCTACAGTCAGACAGAACTGAGTTGGGCAGGTTAACTGAATTTTTCTAGGACTCAGCTTCATCTGTAAAATGGGATTCTTAACACCCAAACCCACAGATCTGCTGTGAATCTGGAATGAAATAATGCATATAAAGAACTTAAGCAAGTGTCTGCTACACAGTAAGTATTCAACTGATGGAGGCTCAATTTTCTAGCTAACTTAGATTGCTGAAAGTCACCTCCTCATCTTGTTCTAGTATTGAGAAGGGGAGGAAGTATAAGATTAAAATTTATTGTCTATTTACTGGAACTATGGTTATAAGGCTTTATGGTGATTAGAAATAGCTTCCTTCCAGCTTCTCTTAACAGTTCCTTTTTTTTTTTAATCCTCACCTGAGGACATCCTTGCATTTATCTTCAGATAGAGTGGGAGGGAGAGTGGGAGGAAGAGAGAGAGAGAAACATAGATGTGAGAGAGACACATGGACTGGCTGCCACCCTCACAACCCCAACCGGGGCCAGGGACAAACTGCAAAAGAGGTACATGCCCTTAGCGGGAACTGAACCCGGAACTCTCTGATCTGCGGGCCGATGCTCCAACCGCTGAGACAAATCGGCCAGGGCAAAAGTTCCATTTTTTAAATTTCTTAACACCAGTTGATTTGGAAGCCTCAGTTTTACTGAAGAACAGTGCTGCTGTTAGTTTTGAAAGGCAAATTCTGCCAAATTAGGATTGATAAAAACAATGACGTGGAAATCCTGATAGTCTTCTTTGTACATTAAGATTTTAGAACTAACAAGCTAAATGGTATGGGGAAAGCATTGCTTGATTCATTGTTATCCGGCTCCAAACAGATGTAATGATAGAAACACTCAGCCTGTCTTTTCTTTAGAAGAGCTCACATTATTAGACGATTACTACATACTAGGTGCTGAGCCACTTCCTGTCCATCATATCATTTCACCCTCTTATGGGCAGGGTGCTGCTCACAACCATCTTTTGAGCATGGTGCTGTCCCTCAGATGCTTTGTCACTTGACCAAAGTCACAGAACTTGTCTGTCAGGATTCAAATCCAGGTTTATTAGATTCCAAACCTTAAATTCTTTATGTTGTACTTCATATAAGTAGAAGATGCTAGAAAGACAGTCTAGACTGGTTATTTCATGTAAAGATACATCATAAATCATCAATTTGTTTTTCCTTACTTCTTTGTAAGAAGTTTGGTCACACCCTGCTTGCCCCAGGCAGTCTATAAAGGGAGATAGCGCCAGCCACTCCCTGCAACCTAAGAGGATATGTCACTGGTCTCACAAAGAGTGGGCACACTGCAGTGGGCCAGGGTCAGGGCCAGGCATTGTGGAGTGTGTGGCTCTTTGCTGGGACCCCAGGATCCATTCACATTGCATTAGTCCTCCATACTGAATAAGTTAGCAGTTAGCAGGCTCCATGAAGATTGGACTATCTTTATATCTGGGTTGCCACTTCAGGTAATGTCAGTCAGTGGCCTAAAATGGGCTTGTTCCTTCTTTTTACATATTTTATTCTCAGCTGCTCTTTTTCTTTTTCTTTTTTCCTTTTTGTTTGCACAGGAAGTCCTCAAAGAATTTCAGATTAAACAGGAAATGATATGTACCCACATAAAGGGTACCAAAAGGAATGAGAATGGCCAGGATAAGGAAAGGGAATAATTGACTCCAACTTAAAAGCTAGTCTAGTGAATTTTATGCAGAGACCCCTAAAAACTTTTAAATTTATAAGTTGTGCACATTTGTAAGTAAATCTGCCTTTCTAAATTGGTCTTATTAACTTGGAAATGAATTGAATTGCCGGAGATACACCTGGGTCCATTTACCTTTATCCTATTTGGTTACCCCCTTTTATCAAAGGCCAAATTTTCAGAGGTTTTAAAAAAGTTCCCATTTGTTTAGATCCTTTTTTCCTCATGTGTGCCTCAAAATAAAGGGACTGAATAATTTTGGAGCAAATATATCAATAACGTTTATGAGCATGAACTGTGGAGGAAGGGAAAACTGGGGCACCATGACAACTATTTAAAATAGCTGCAGGGCCCTGGCCGGTTTGGCTCAGCAGTTAGAGTATCAGCCCGTGAAACAAGAGTCGCGGGTTCAATTCCGATCAAGGGCACATACCTCGGTTGTGGTTCAGTCCCCAGCCCTGGTCAGGGTTGTGTGGGAGGCAGCCAATCGATGTGTCTCTCTCACATTGATGCTTCCCTCTCTCTCCCCCTCCCACTTTATCTGAAGATAAATGGAAAAATATCCTTGAGTGAGGATTAAAACAAAACAAAACAAAACAAAACAAAAAAAACAATCAAAAAGCTGTAGGACTATCTCATAGAAGGAGAACAGATTATTTCATATAATTTCAAAGGGTCATGTTAGGAGAGGTAAGAGGAATACACAGAAAGGCAGTTTTGGCCAATATAAAGAGAAATTAAACAACAATAACAAAAAACCCAGCTCTTTTAAAAAGGATGAGACTGCTGTGCAAGTATTCAACTACCTGCCATACTTGTTGTCAAGGAGATTCTGCCATTGATGGAAGGCTTTTAAATCAGACAACTACTCATAGCCCTGTCACCTTGAAACGTCTGAGATCTAGTTTAACATTTCAACTTACAAATACAGAAACAGAGAGTAAGCTTTAGAAACAGAGTCAATTCCCCTTGGTGAGTGATATGGATTCTCTCTCTCTCTCAAACAAACTGGTTTATAGACTGTTAAATATCCCCTTGAAATAACTAAAGGCTCTGTACGGTGTCACAAAATAAAGAAAAGAATTTTTGTGCAACTAATTCTAAACATTCCTACTAAGTAAACCAGACCTTGGGGTGCATGCCAAGAGTTGGGCCAGACTGCTGATACAACAAGTACCACATCAGGTATCTAAAGAGTTACTGGACAAACATCAGATGGAAATGCCATTCTTCTGAGTGGCCTGCCAGATGTCTAAGTCCCTGATCAGACATGTGTCACTCATTAGCAGTCACTAGAGCCCTCAGCAGCAGGTCCTTGGAGAGGAGAAAGTAACAGCATCCTAACATCCATCTTCTTTTGGGGGCACTAACTTAGCAGGCTGAATTGAAAAAACCATCTAGCCAGAGGAAACCAAGCCCTGAGAACAATTTACACATCTGTGTCTCCATGTTTAGAGTTTAACTAAGTTAAAACCAGAAAATAATAGTGTAATTGGGAGTGGTCATGTGCAGAACACTGTGCTAGGTGCTCTGCTCAATTAACTGAAACTTCACAACCAGCTTTCAAGGTAAGGGTTATTAGCCTCATTTTACAGATGAGAACACAGAGGCCCAGAGAGACTCATGCCCAGCACCGAGAGTGCCAGGATGCAGAGACCAGTGATTGACGAATGCCAAAGTCCTGTGGTTCTTCTCCTTACATGAACTAGCTCCACGATGAAATGCCACTGACATAAATGAAGAACTGGGTCAGCTTGAATCATCCTCACCTTGTCTTTTTGGATAAATATTTTTTGGATGAATAACAGTCCATTGTTCTTTACTTCAGTTTCCTTAAGAACATTGTGACTGATTTTTAGTCTTGATATTAACTGGGTAGCAAAGGAAATAGAAATGAACCACTAGTTTATGGTAGTGTACTGTAAAGAAGT